GTCTTGCAAACATTAAAGCCACCACCTTGCCGTCGGCTGCCAGATTTTTAAGCTGGCCTCTTAGGAGAGTGCATACTACTGTAATGGGAGGGATCTCAATAAACATTGTGGCAAAGAAGGACCTGATAAAACTTATGAAAGCTCTACTTGAACTCTAGGGTTAGATATATAGTGTAGTTTATTATTTTCCACTGGCGTCGAAACAGCCATGAACACAGTTCAAATAACACGCTGAAAACAATTCAGCCAGACCCAGTTTGGAAAACAGGATGGAATGAGACCAGCTGTTACTGAAACTGAACTGCTCTCTTAGCAATAGACAAAGATTAGACTATGGAGTTCAGTCCAAATGGATCATGTCACCAGTGCTTGGGACATCTCCCTGTTCAAATGCTACAACGGAAAGAGCTGTGCAAAAGTTTTGTGGGGAGAAAGCTATTGAAGGCAGGTGCCAGTGGTCTGCTCAGCCATAGGCTTTTAATGTGTTCAATGGTGGACGATCACACTCATGTTTTTGGCTTATTTCCCGATATTGTGAAAAGCAGCAACAAAAAACCTGGGGACAGCTATGTTTCCAGATCCTTTCTTGATGCCCACTTACCTATTCAGATCTCAAGAAGCTCTATAACTCCTCAAACACCTCACCAATGTGGCCGCTTTTCATAGTTCACAAAGTAGTTTTTCTGAACTTAGTTCAGCTGTAACCTAGCCCATAAGTGTGTCTGTGTGTGTGTATGGGAAACAACAATGTGTGGCAGCCTTATTTAACTCCCTTCCCCTGCCTCTGGTAGTTTCTCTGCCTTGACTCTCAAAGACTGCTCCTGGAGCTGGGAACTATGCCCTTGTGTTCTGCAAAGAAGAACACATGTGGTGCTAAGTCATACGTATATTAACATATTTCCTGGAGCTGGGGAACAGTGTTCTGCAAAGAACACATATGGTGCTAAGTCATACGTATATTAACATATAATTTCCTCCTCCTATGCACAAAGAAATTATCAGTATTTTGCAGCAATGCTGAGGTATTAAGATTAATGATATAATAATGAAGCCTTCTTTAGTAGGCATGGTATCTGATCATCTCCACAGAAATGCTTCATATCTTTTTTGAGGGCTTGCCCCTTATTGGGGAGAAAGTCTGTGCAGCTGCAGCTGTCTATGTCCTGTGGATCCTGTTTCTAGATATGCATTCCTAATTCAGAGTTAATTTAAAAAGGGTAAGAGAAGGACAGATCTTACCTTCTCATGTGGGTCTTGTCTTATAAAAGAGAGAGAAAGAGGAGGGAAAGAGGCCAAAAAGCTTGGTGGTCTTGATAGATCCCACAAAACATCTTGCATCAAAACATACTCCCTTTCTGTGCTCCAACACTTCTCTATTATATACATATAGCCACTTTCCCCACTGATAAAGTAGCTTGTCTATTAAGACACATTTTAAAGATAGGGCTAGCAAACAACAAATCTGCCACTATATTACTTCTAATTTACTCTGTGCCATGCAGGAAAATCCACATGAATCTCAAATGTGGCAATGGCTTATCTCATATAGACACTACCATTTGGATGAAGAATTCTGAGGAACCCAAGCTTCCTCTGTTTTGTAGCTCTTTGGCTGATGTTGGATAGGTGTGGATTGGGGCCGTCCTCCCCCAGAGTAATACAAGCATTTATTGTTTTCTTGGAAAGTGTGGAATTATTTATTTTTTAATACTGCCTGTTCAAGGCCAGCCAGATGGTTGTTCTTTAGAAAGGACACTTGGTGTCACTCACAAACCTCTTCCATTTCCAAGGAGAGCCATTACTTGTGACCCATGAGAACTGGGAACCTGGGTGTTCTCCAGCCAAGGGAGGAGCTTGGAACAAGAACGCTATTTATAGGGATGCAACTTGGAAGAGAATGGGTAGGAAAACATATTATGCAGCTTCATTCCATTTGATACAAATTTAAAAACAGAAAAGCTGTTGATTGAAATATACTGGAGATGCGCCAATATGGGACACATCGGGTGACTAGCACCTGGCCTCTATTTCCCTCCTCTCCTGACTCTTTGAACCAGCTTGCACTAGGAGCACCTTTTCAGGAGCAACCAGCGTTATTTTCCCACATTTATTCAACCCCAATCATCCAAGAGAATTTGGCCACTGAGCTACAGAGAGTGATTCTGGGTAGAGTGTTCTGGAAGCAGATCAATTGCATTTCATTCTGTGAGGCTTTCAGCCATGTGAGAAGTTGCCATCTGGACTGGAGTGTTATTTTTGCAGTAATAAGACTCACAGAGGACTTTAGTATATTTGAGCGTGCTTTCACATTCATTATCTCAGTCATTCTTAACAGCAACCTTTAAGGCATTACAGTATTATAACTGTCTTCCAGATGAACCAGGTTTGTCTCAGGTTCAGGAGGATGTTTTTGCTCAAGTTTTGAACTAGGGACCAGAAATTATCTGAAATGCCCAAAATGTGGGCCAGATGGTAAATGGAGAAGATATATCATGTTGCTATTGTGGATGACTGTTTGGGCATCTTTGTGTCTGGAATTGTCTCTAGATAAAGGCAATACTTCATTTCTCCATTTGAGTTAAGAAAATGGCTGGAACGAAGGTGTATGTATTTTATACTGACAAGCTATCCAGGGTCCCCACAAAAAGACAATCCATATTCCTACTTTTCCCACACATTTAGACAGGATGAGATGATTTGTGATTTTCAAAGTGGGTGGGAAGGATAGCTAGTAAAATATGTGTTACAGGCTGTTAGGTAAATTCCAGCTTATACTTAGTGGAGTTGTCATGGTATGTGAGATATTTAAGAAGAGGTTTTACCAGTGCCACACCACCCCTCTCCCTTAATTTTCCATGTCTAACTGGGAATTTGAACCCAGGGTCCTAGTTCCACGCTCTAACCTGTACAGTATATTAAAATATACTGTATATTGCAATATACTATACAGTCTAGGGCTTTTAGAGTGGGCACACTTTGAATGTTCTTCAATTTGACTGTTCCTCCTCAGGCACCAGCACCTCTGGAGCCCCTTCCGGCAAGACGACCAGCCGTGTATGATAGCAGGGTGTACCCCTCTTGAGGGGGGATTTGGCTTTCGCCCGTTTTTTTTCTCCCTCGCCTTAACCCACGTTTGCCCTGAATACCAGGCGTCCCCGCCGCCTGAGAGCAACGACCTTGGCCGCAGCAGCCCATTTCCCCACTCGGCCTGGCCCGCCGCTCTCCCGTTTCGGAGCCTCTGCGGCGAAGGGTAGCCCACGTGCGGCGCCAGCGGGAGCACGCCCGGCTCACCCTGGGCGGGGGGTCGCAGCGCCCAGAGCCGGCGGGACCGTTCTTTGCTGCAAGAAGGGAGGCGGCGGAGGCAGAGCCCGCGCTTCCTTCAGCCTGCTTTCCTTCCTCTCTGGTCCTCCTGCAACCCCTTTGACCTCGAGGATCGCCTCAAGAGGGCCCTTCCCGAGGGAGGAGGGAGGGAGGGAGGGAGCGCGAGAGAGAGGGGGGCGTGTGCGCGCGCGGAGCCGTCTCTCCAGGCATTGCAGGGGTACGTGGTGGTGGCGCTCCCGCAGTCAGGCGGGAGGTGGGCTTTGGAGGAAACCAGCCGCCTCGCTCGGGCACGACCACCACCACCTTCGCGCCACAACTCGGAGCGGCGAAGGGGCGTCAACCCTCAAATAAAGCCCGCCACCTTCGTGCCTCCTTCCCTTGCAAAGGAGGCGGCGGCGGCGGCTGCAGCGGTTTCTTCCGTAGCTGGAGAGGGGAAGCGGGCTGCCGGCGCTGGGGATAACTCGGGCTGCCGCTGCTTCTTCCGTACCTGGAGAGGGGAAGCGGGCTGCTGGCGCTGGGGATAACTCGGGCTGCCGCTGCGCCCTTCTTCCGTGGGAGGAGCCCGAGAAGAATTCCTCTCCCTTCACCTCTTCTCAGGCCGCTGGGGCAAAGCGAGCATGCCGGCGCTGCTGAGCCGCTGAGAGAAGCCCGAGCTGCAGAGTTTGCAGGTCATTAGTGCTGCACCAAACTCCCGGGCGAGGTAAGAGGCGCCTCTGCCGCCGCCGCCGCCGGCCTTGCTGTATACAACGCGCTGGGAGCGAGTCTCGGGTGGGAACTGCCTGTGGGGAAAAGAATGACGAGCGAGGCCGGGCCTGAGGTGCTGAAGCAGTGCTGCTGCTTGTACGGGCGTGCGGTGCAAAGGTAACGTCACGTAAGGCAACGCGGCATGCTTTTGAAGCAAACAAAACAGCGTATGTTGCGCTTACGGGGCACCCTCGTGTGAGCTATCCCTCGGGCTGCTTGCTTTGGCTCTCTGCGGTCCGCGCGGTGCCTTGTTCCTGCTGGCGCGGCGCGGCCCTTCCCTTTGGTTTGACGCCTCTGCCGGCAGCCCGGGAATTTGGCGGCGGGAAAGTCGCTTGCCGGGCGGGAAGTCTCCTTGCAAAGTTTGCGCCCAGGCTCTCTGGGTGCGCGCGAGCGGGTGCCCTCCTCCTCCTCCTCGCTGCGCTGCGGAGCCTTCTGGGCTTGCGAAGAAATGGAAGGGGGCAAAAAAAAGCCCCCGTTAGCTTAGCAGGACGTTAAGCCGCGGGCGGTGGACCCGAGGGTCTGGGGGGGCCAAGCAAAGGGAATAGATAGGGAGAGCTCCGTGCAAGGGCTTTGGAGTAACGGCAAGGAGTGGGCAGGAGGACCCCCAAGGCTTGGATTCAAACGTTCGTTTTGAGAAGGTTAGGTAGAGCCCAAGCGCAGGAGGCAAATGCATCACAGGCAAAAAAAGAGAGCTAATTCAAAAGCAGATCTCTATTCCTACCCCCCCACCCCACCCCAGCTCCAATCCGGACGCCCGGCATCTGTTATGTACAATCTCGTTCTCCATTAACGAACCCCCAGTAAAGTATATTTTTTGTATTACGGAGGGAGGTCTTGTGCGCCGCTCTGAATGCTTTTTCGGCTCTCCATGAAGCCAGGAAAGCTGGAGGGAGCAGACTTTTGATTTCATCGATGCTTGCGGGCGGTGAGGCTTTCCTGGAAGTTTTCGCCACTTGGCTGAGACCCGCCCGCCGAGCGCTTGCAAGTTTCCGTATCTAGGTCTGGGTGACCCGCCAGCGATCGAGGGAGGGCTTTCCCGACCCCCCCACCGGCCACGAGGGAGGGGGGCGCTGTGCATATGCCCGCTCCTTCCTTCGTGCCTTCGGTGGCGGGAGGGAGAGAAGGGCGCGTAAGAGGATCCCCGGTAGTCAATGGTGAGCGGAGACACCGAGAGTGGAGAAGAAGAAGAAGGAGGGAGCCAAGGGCTGTAACTAAGCCATCTTCTTATCGCCACTTGGCCTTCGAAACAGCTACTCGCGCGGTTCCCCTGCTGAAGGGGGTTCAGGTAGAGATGTCTTTACTGCGGTAATTCCTGTGTTTTGATTAAGTCTGTCATTTTAGAGGGCTCCCTCCCTTCCCTGTTTTAGCTTCCCTCCCCCGGGGGACATACCGTTTCTTTTTCTTTTTCTACCTTCCCAAGAAAACGGACCGGCCTGCCATTGTAGAAGTGAGGATGTGTAATGTAGCACGAATAATTAATTTCCCAGGAAGAAGGGATACCTTTCTTATGTATAAATCAAAGGCCTGCGCTGTCCTGCCAGTTTCTGAAAAGCCCTTAAGACAGATGTGGAATACTCTTCTTTTATGGGCATGGGGAGAGTTCGTTTCTGTGAAAATCTATTGAAATCTATTAAAAATGTGCAGTTAGTATAGGATGTGCTTATTGATTTACTTAAAATCTAATTCTCCCGTTTTTGGGATGCTCTCAATGTGCATGCTCTTTTTCCTCTACAATAAATTATTATTACAGTATCTGCATTTCTTTACTATTATCTCAGCCTTTGTGCTAGCTTCTCAATCCAGACACATACACAAAGTTTTTGTGCATTTTGTTATTGCAACTCTGCAAGGTCGAGAGACAGGGACCAGTGCAAGGTCACCAAGTAAATCTTATGGGTGAACACTGATTTTTGAACATCTCTTCCTGGCCAAGATTAAAGAAATTTTGTCCAGGAAGAAATGTTCTAAAATCAGTGTTCACCCATAAGCTTCTTTGTTTTCCTGATTGCCTTTAATTAGATATACTGTATACTGATAAAAAATAATGTAAAACAAAACAAGGTTTAAATCACCCAAATGGTTTTATGCCAGCTCTACCCTTCCTTCCAATAAATCTCCCCAAAGGAAAGGAAAGCTTGTTTCAATGGGGTCGCAATGATACAACCAGTCTTTAACAGGAGCAATCTCTTTAAGGCTGCAGTACACTTGGTTGGCAGCTTGAATGAACACAAAAGGACATGCCTCTCAGTAAACATTGCACAGAATAAGTGTTTCATACCAGTAGCCTCCATTAACCTCATGAGAACTGCTTTTTTTCCTCTGGAGGAAAATGGTGAATATGGCATTCTTACGAAAGAGACTGTAGTCCCCCAAATTTGTTACTGGGCTGGGTGGCCAGCATACCACTGTCAGATTTTTTTTTCTTCCAGACCAGCAGTCTGAAAGGGTAAAGGAGACCAGCTCTTTTTCCAATGTATCTAATTTTCCTGGATTTCCTAGATCTGTATCTTACTTGCCATAAGCAAAAAGTGACTGTTTACACACCTGCTGTATGGATTATAAGGACAACAGTAGTAGTAGTAGCAGGTGTCAGAAAGTGTGAAAGAGAACGTCTTTCAAAAGAATCATACAGCTTTCTCCAGTTTCTAGTGGCTGTTTGCATTTTGCGGGGGGGGGGAGTTGAAATAGCCCATGGTCTTCAAAGCTGCAGTAAATTGCTCCCCTCCCACAACAGAGCCTCATGGGAAATCTACATTTCACGCTGTTTGCCATGAATGAAACTGCAGCTTAAAAATTCTAGACATCTTCGTAAGTGTCCATTGCTCCCACTGTCAGCTTATCGTCCTGAATGGTACAAGTTTATATCAACAACTCTTGTGAACGATTGCAAGAACAAAGAATGAGTTAATGGCAGGACTAGGTTCCCATCTACTCAGTTTGATTTTGCTCCAACTGCATTAAACTATGCCTCAAATAGAGATCAAATGACTTGGAGGTGGGTGCCCGGAGAGCAGAAGACACTCCCTGCCTCCCTCAAGATCACTCTAGGTGGCAGAGAAGCTGAGCCACGTACTTGTGGAACACACCACTTGACAAGTCTCTGCACTTTTCATTTTCTTTTTTGTCCAAAACAAGCTTCTTTTTATTTATGGCGGCATGTAGTTATGTATCTATCTAAATATTGCAGTATAGCAGTATTTATTCATGGGGTCATGAAGAGTTGGACATGACTTAATGACTAAACAACAACAACAAGATATGTATGGATATTAATATCAGGTTATTATCAAATACTGGAACGGTTACCTTTTTGAACTGTAGCTCCAAGAATCCTACAGTCAGCATAATGGTGTCTGTTTCAAGGTTTTTCATTTTCCAAGTGTAGCTGAGCAAAATCTTTTCCAACATGTACATGTAGCTATGTGGTTTATTTTATGAAAGTGGTGGCTATGGGTACAGGTATCATATTTGCTGCTTCCTTTTGGGGCTGAAATCTTGTGTTGTCTTGTATAATTGAGGAAATATTTTGGAAGGCTTCCTTTTATTTGGGATGCTGGTCCAAGAAAACGACTTGGCTAGCAGGCTGTTAGATCAGGCACAGTCAACTTGACGTGCAGTTGGTTTATACATGTTTCAGAATCGGGGACTCTCTGGGAAAAACCTTCATTTTTATCTTTCTCATAGTGTCTGGTCAACAGACAGTGTTGCTTCTGATTGTATCTTAAATGGGATTGTGTGTGCATCAGAGTGAGATTATCATCATTGGAACATAATTGGGTTTTCTTACATTGTGTGAAGACCAGAGATTTCCCATAATTCAGCAGAAGCTGGGGACACAGTTTGGTTGTTAAGCTTCAGTCGGAAAGACTGGTCTGCAACTGTTCTGTTATTCCTGTTTTTAAAATTGAGATTCTTTTAGGAGTGGGTTTTCATACCTGTGTTCTTGTCTGAACTGGTTGTATAACATTTGTAGGTTTCTAGTTAGTCTGCAAGGATATCTGAAGGATATGCAAGTTGGGAAAAGCTACCATAGACTTTAAAGACAGGCACTTTTACCATAGAAAGCCTGCCTTCAGCCTAGCACTGGTCTGAAAATGTACCGTTTGTGTAGTGTGTAGTTTATGAGAAAAATTGTTTGCTTGATGTGTGTTTCAGGAAATGTTTTTTCTTCTGCTCTTTTGGAGGTAAGTTCTGGGATTCAGAAGAGGTACTTCCTCATAAACACTTTTGGGCCAGAATGATATATCTGAAAATCATTTAATCTAACCTCTGACATAGAGCAGAATATACTGTATTGGAACTTACGTTTTGCTTTTTCATGATCAGGCACCTTCTTCCCATATACTTCCTTTCTGGTTGTAACACAGCATGGTTCAAGAGGTGCAAGATGGTGCTCCCTCATCTAGGCAGCACTGATATGATTTCTGTCCCCTGGAGATCCTTTTCCTTCTTTGCAACATGATCATGCACCATTTTGCAGTTGTTTGGCAAGGCTTGGAATACTGGGCAAAAATGACGTGAAAGCAGAATTGCCTTACTTTTTCCGGCTGCCCTCATGCTGTCCTCAGCTTTGATGGGGAAAGTGTGACTTTCCAGATATTGTTGGATTGCAGCTAGGTAGGCCAGAGCTGATGGAAGTTGTGGTCCAGATCCATCTGGACTTAGAACATGTTTCAGAATCACCAGGCTTTTACACCAAGGCCATCACAGCCACTGCTGGCACTCACACCTGGGTGTTTCCTTGGCGTTATTTCAAACACTATTCATAAATGATGCACTGAGGCCTGTGCAAGAAAATGACTGTCCCTTTTCTAGCGGTCAATCAGTTGGGGAAGGAGAGGGTAGAGAGAGAGAAAGAAAAGGGTAGTGTGAAGAGAGAGAAAAGCAGTGAGCTTACTCCCATATGAGTATAGCCTGTCTGCTGGTGACTTCAGCCCTTGCTACAACCAGCATGTGTCTTCCCCCCTGACAAATTATCCTCAAGGGAAGAGGGACTCTTCACATTGGGGAGCCTGCTTATCCCCCATTTTACATTTTAAAAAAAACTTGATTGTGGCCCTTGGTCATTGAAAACCAGGAGCTTCAGCTTTAGAGCCAGTAGAGGTGTAGACTAATATCAGTGAGGAAAGAACTTGCTGTACTGTAACTTGAGCCCCCCCCCCTCCAATGGTACTAAAATGGAGAACCATTCTCCGTGGCAGTTTCTAGGATGCAATTCTCCATTTTGGGGCTGTATATTTTTCAGTGATATGGGTCTAAAATAATATCCTGGGACTTTTAGTGGATAGTGCAGTTCCAGCAGAGTTGTATCCAACTTTCATTTCTGGCATAGCATCTGTCTGGAACTGACTTCCCCTATCTCTGTTGCACCTCACACTCCCAAAATTGTATTTGGAAGGATGGGAGGTACTTTTTGGAATGACTTGGGTGGTCATGAGAGACTGCAAGGGAAAGAAGAGGAAGGGAACAAGTGAATGTCCATTCATGCAATGCTGAATCAGAGTTGGGGAAAAATTGTCAAACATAATGGCGTTATTTTGTTTTTGAGTAAGCAAAGCCAACATTGTTACTTTAAGCAGTATAATGATAACAACTTCACCTTTACATCATTAAAAGATTACTAAAGTCATTACCATTCGGCTGCAGGCATTTTCTCAACCAGCCCTTTAAGACAAGGTAAAGAAATATATTTTTGCATTTTCAAAATAAGTGATGCTGTGCATCAGTGATGGTCTACTACAGTCTTAAAAATGCTCACTTTCCTAGACTTCCACCAAGGAGCCAATGTCCTTAAATAGCTTGCTTCTTAAATATGTTGAAAACATGCCTCTTGTGTATGAGCAGTGCTGTTTTGGCTCCAATCAGTATTGGTATTCAACTCATGAGGTTGGGTAATTGAATGAATGTGAAGACAAGGGTGGGTTGAATTTTAAAATTCAAGGTTAAATTTTAAAATTCAACAATTTAAAAAATGACAAACATAAGATAGCTTTTCATCCTGCAGAGGTCTTCATCAGGCTGGGCAACACAGAGCTGGTGTGTGTGTACAGAAGAAACACAAAAGTTTCAAAAATCATGGCCAGATGTGCCTGCCAGGCTCATCTGTTAAAAGTAAGTTTCAAAATGGGGGCTGAAGACTCAGATCAGAGGTATAGGTTTCTGATTCCATCTCTGATGGTGTGCACTGGAATGTGTTTCCTGACCTTGTTAGACAAAAAGATTGATGGTGATAAGAGGGTATGGCATGGTTTCTAGTACAGTGTAATGCAAACAAGTTCTTTCATATAAGTGGGATTGGCTGGTTTGTCAACATTTTAAAATGTGATACTTTCAGGACACGAATGGTAAAGTCTCCCATTTTGTATGTTGTCCTCATGATGAGTTTATTGCGGCTACAATCAGAAGGTGCCTCACCAGCTGATGTGTTTCTTCATTGTGATGGACACTTTGACAGGAAGTAGGTTGAGGACGTTTGTAATCATGATGACAATAATTGCTGGCAAAATTCTTTGACAGTGTGAGCAGAGGGTTGTGGGGAAAGCTGGAGCCTTCTTCCTCATAATGCAACAAACTCCATTTGGAAACTGATTGGTGTAGTCAGGCATTATCTGTCACAACCTTACTGGGAGGGAAGTAAGATTCAATACTGAAAATAAGTTCCAAATGGAAAAATCAGATGAGGTTGTAAATTGAAATAGATTAGTTTAACTGTATTAAGCCTCCACATGGACATGAGTTATTTGGATTATGATTGTGTTTGTTTTAGCTTAATTTAATTATGAATGGAGTAAAATTGGATGAGATTAAAATGTCTGTCTGTGAAGTAGGTAAATCTACTTTATCAAATTTAAACAAATCGGTCTGATGCATAGTTTAAAAAAACAAGCGAGTCCTGATTAAATCCTTTAGAAATAAGAGTTTTTATTTGCTGAAACCCATGTTCTCAGCAACATATATCAAGGAAATTGCTTTTCAGAGTCCACAAAAACACAGCCCAAGGTCTTAATCTGTTGGTTTGGGTGTGAATTATGATGCCACCAACAAACTCTCTTCTTTTCCACCAAGATAACAATGCTAGAGGCTTACATGTGTTGGTTGAGAGACTATGGCTGGATGAGTTCTTTGGTACTTCCAGAGATTTTTTCCACAGTTGTTAAATTTGATGGGCAGAAAGCTCTACTAAATCTTGTAAAGGTGGCTCTAGATGCAGTTTTTGAATCCAAAGGTAAAATATCTTGAACAAGGTTCCCACTAAGCTGGGCACACATGTGCATGTGCATGGTTCCACTTCCCTCTATGCAGCTGTCTTCCTCCTCTGAGCAGTGGTCATGTCAGATTCCAGTTGCGATGGAACCCAGCGCGTGCGCGGGGGGGGCAGAGTCGCACATGTGAGAGGAGGAGCCCCATTCAGTGGGGCTAAAAATGAGAGGGTACATTGATCTTGAAAAAAGGGCTTTAGCTAGTGATGAAGGTTTTAGCACAGAAAGTGGAGAAGACATCAAAAGTGTTTTGTGCATGTAGGCTTCCTTCTTTCATAGATGGGCAATGCAGTATGGAGGAGCACCTCCGATGTTGGCAGGTGAAGTGCATGGGGAGATGCATATAAGATAAGGTAGTCTTTGGTGTATGCTGGTCCCAGGTCATTATAGTTCTAGATGTGAATAAATATGCATGAATCAGAACCCCAATACAAACTTTTTTTAACGAGAATATTTAAGGATAGATGAAACAACATAAAAATTCAACATCTAGCAGTACCTCTGGTGTTAGAGAAAAGAAGGCATCTAAAAGCAGCACACTTTTTTTTTCATTTCCTGTTACAAACACACCATCAGAAACCAGAATAACTTTCATGATGGCCCTGCTCTGTTACTATTTGCCTCCATTGATTAATATTTTGCATCTGTGGAGAAGCTGATAGGTTTGCTAATGCAATCATGCAGCTTGAATTTTAATGGTGGTTACCCTTATTGTTTTGGACATAATACTTTTGTTTTAGGCAATCTTTCTTTTCCCTGCAGTTGTTTTTTTTTCTCAACATCCATTTTGACATATTTATTATTTTCTTTTCTGCCAATGGGATATAATTTCCCTGGCTTCATTTAGCCCTTCCTTTCACCTCTCTCTTGTCTAGAGAAGCTCATAAAGAAAACTAATGAGTATTTGTCTCCTATCACCTTTGTCTTCATTAGATTTTCATCAGCTACCAGAGGCTCCACTGGAGCTTTAGTGAAACTGCAGACGACACAAATGGTCAGTAAGTATTAAATCATATTTCTCCAGGATGTGAATACAGAGCTGAAATAACAACCCCATAGTTTTTCTAGTGAAGTCAAGAGAGCCATTCTGATGAGTGGCATATCTTCCCAAAAGAATACTTAGGAAAGGGCACACAAACATTCGGTTTTCGTACATGAGGGTGCTGCCTTATGATGACTGAAATCTGGTGCCTCAGCACAGTAAGTGTGCAGTCGGATGGACCTTCGTCCCACAGTTCGATCTGCTTTAGAGATAGGCTGGTCTTTCCTTTTTTCCAGCAATCACATGCTATATGGGCTGTCATAAACCAGCTTCTCCCTGATCCATGCCTATCTGCACCTTTTTCGGTCCCTGTCAGGGGCAACTTTTTTTAAAAAAATGTGAGTATAATATCTCCATTTTTGTTTGTTTCCGGCATGGATGATGACAGAGATCAAACTAAAGCAGATGGCTGAACCTGTCAGTTTGCTGAATCTGCTTCAGGATCTAGTCAGTTATGAAGAAACTGAAAGGTTTTTCCTGCTCCCCCGTGGAGGGGGGGGGAAATGAAGAGGATACAAGTTGTTTGTGTGTGTGTGTTTTTTTAAATCCAATTGAATCCTACACTGAATTGATTGCTTAGCAAACCAGTTCAGCACTACATAACTTTAAAATAAGTTTTATTTTTGTTTAAAAAAGGTGAGCACTTCCTCCTACTTCCCTGCAGAGGGAGAGACAAGAGGAGACAGGGAGATTCACCCCACCCACCCCAAAAAACACAAAAGACATCATGTTCGGCATCACTGATTTTGAACTGATTGTTCTTCTTAGTCCGTCAAGACATGAGAGCAGCTCTGGGCTGCAGTTGTGGCGTGTATGTCTTCACACACACCTTCGGCTTGGTCCAGAGACTTCTGAGCAGCACACTGGATGGGGCTGAAGCAGTTTTGCATTGCACTGCACACACACGCACACACAGGCACACCCACACACTGTGGAGCTGTTGAGAGACCATGCTGCCATTTGCCATTGCAAGGGATGGAAGAAAAAGAGGAGGAGGAGGAGGAGGAGGAGGAGGAGAGGGCATGCTCTCTACCACCAGTGCTCAGCAGGTTAGGTAGCTGCACCTGGTGGGTCAGTGCTGCAGGGGACTATTTGGATGGTAACCCTGCCCCTCCACCTGGAGGACTGCAGAAGTCCTCTCCGCCTTCTGCACCAGGATGGGAGAAGGTGCCAAGAGACAAAGGACTCTGCAGAGGCTGCAAGGATGCACCAACCCCAATGGCCACTCACTGCCCCTCACCTGTTTTTCTCTGGCTGAGAAGAACTACCACCACCATCACTCTCTTGACCTGTTCCCCACTCTACCTCAAGGGATTTTTCTTCCTTTCCATTTAAAGGGAGGAGTGGACTAAATAGGGTTGCTTGAGATGTAGTGTGGTTTCCTGTCCTGAAACCATGTGATCCTTGCACGCAGGTGTAAGGATCTCCCCAAATAATACACCACACCACACCTCTGTGTGATCTTAAGTGACTCTATTTAGCGAAAACCAGCCTGATGCAATTTGCCTGTCTAGTTACCCCCTAAGTCATGACTAGAGTAGGACCATTGCAATGGAGGATTTGTTGACTCAACTCCTCCATAAGTTCTATGGATTCGATGTATCTACCCTAATTGTGACCTACTACACCCTAGGCAACTGGATTTCAGCCACTGTCTTTCTCTGATCATTGGTCCATGTGGCCTCCATTGACTGTCAGATCTCTGAAGTCTTAAGGCCCAGGACTGTGAGCAAATGAGAACTTTAGAGATGCCAGGATGTCTTTACACAGAATCTCTTCTCTGCCACTGATTTGTAAGCTGTGCTTGTGGAAGATGGCTGATGAGCATTAAAAGAGGAAAAAATAAATACAAACTTTTTAAAGAGACAGAGAGGCAAAGTGTAGTCATCCAGATCTTGTTGGACTGTAATTCACAGTACTTCCCATCATAGCCTCTTATGGCCAAGGGTCGAGGGGTGTCCAGTTACAGCTGGAGGGCTGTATTTGCCCACAACTTTTTTTAAAATCAGAGATATTGTGCTGCCATCCAGATACTGAAAATCTCTCTCTCTTCCTTCTAGTGCAAGAGACAAAATGTTGTTTCTTTCTGGGATTTTGAAAGATAACAAAAGCCAAAGATTTTGGAACACATGTCTCAAGACACAGCTATGAAAATGAATTTTGAAATAGGAGAGGTGGATGGAAAGGAAAGCACAACATTCCATGTGGGTTTCTGTTTGACATGTTCATTGTGTAAAGTATGTTTATCTTAATCTTTTTCGAGTTTTATTTTCCTCCTGGGATTCTCCAAAGAGGGACTTGAAGGTTTTTGTAATTGTAGCAAACTAATACATAAAGGAAAAACAGGAATTTCCCAGAGACTGAAAAAAACAATTTCTTTATTTAAAACGTTTATATGCCACTTTTCACCCTGCACATGTTTTCAGGGCACTCCTTTGGTGTTCTAGCATTAATGCTTTTTTAAAAATGCTGAGTTATTAAAGCCAGTACAGCAAGAAAAACATTGTAACAAACTCAAGTGCCTGAATGTGAATTTTTTTGCTAGGAGCTAAATTATATCAATACAAACATCTTTGCAGTAGAGGAGACAGCATTCCTCAACCAGGCCACCACTGCTGAGAAAACCCTTTGTTGTTCAGTATTACAGTTTTGCCAAAGGAGGCATTCAGAGAAAGGTCTCAGCAGAAGATTGTAAAGCATGGGTGGATTCACAGAGGCACTCCTTCAGATGTTGGGTCTCAAGGTCTTTAGGAATATAAAGATAAGTGCTGAGACTCTGAACTGGGCTTGTGAACAAACATGCAGCCTATATAATTCTTCTCTTAATTTGTTTTCAAAATTCTCGTTGTGTCTGTAAACCTGGTTGTACCAGTTAAAGTTTTCGCCTCTGCTCTGGAGCACTTCGAGCGTCTGAAATTAAGATAAAGACCAAAGCTCAGTGGGAAGGCTTGTGCTCTGTGTGCAGAAGGTATACAAAGCTGAGAGAGGATTCTGGAGATCCACTGCCAAGCTATGTTGGCAAAGCATAAGTAAGGTTATACCTTAGTACTGTATATGGCAGCTTCCTGTGTAACCTATGTAATTGTCTTCTAGAATAGCACTACATACAGAGTGCACTGTAGCAAGTCTACCAAGAGAGTATTAGAGAATTGATTCTGACTCAGAAATGACTGAAGCTGGCAAAAGGCATTCAGAGCCACCCAAGCCACCTAATTGACACATTTGAGTCTCTACAAGCTCCCACTGGCTCAGAAAACCCCCTTGGCTCCAGAGGGTAGTACAACATGGCCTGGCTGCTCTGTGTCTTCTAACAATGTGGCTGTAACCAAAAGGAATGGCTTTTGACAGCCTCCTAGGAAAATACACATGAGATTGCAGGCTCAAGGATTATATAGATGGGCAAAAGTGCTACAGTAGCTGGTCCCAGTCCTTCTTGGGTCTGTGCTGCACTGCAAAAGCCTGTCTTCAAATTCCGCCTGGAACAACCTTTATAAACCTTTATACATCAAGCTCCCTGGTAGATCTTCACTTCTAGAGCAGTTCTTTGAAAACTTGGCTTAAATACTTAATGGATGGCTTTTGATCATAAACCTCTGATGTGGGAATGAACTTCCCATGGAAAGTGCCAGAATACTATTCTTTGTGCACCTCCTGCCAAAACAAAGTAAGCCAGCCTTTGAAATGGAAACAAAAAAAGTGCAGAAGGGCAAGGGAAAGGTACTGCTCTGAAGAGAGCAGTGCCTTTTGTCATGCAGACGGCAAGTTTAATAATGAAATTCAACAGTATGGAAATCAGCACACATTTCATCACATGTTTTGTCCAGTATGGGTAAACCCCTACTGTTTGTTGGAGGTGATGAATAAGGTTTCAGGCTAGAAGACCTCATAGGAAGCCATGGCGCTAATGGTTTTATTAAACAGCTGCACCCTTCACCAGTCTGGCACTCTGCAGATGCCTTGGAGTACAGTTCATGCCATCTTCAGCTACATCTAGCCTAGTCTTGGCTGTGATGAAACTTGTGACCCAACATATCTGGATACAGTTCATGCCATCTTCAGCTATATCTAGCCTAGTCTTGGCTGTGTTGGATGGAAATGATGAAACTTGTGACCCAACATATCTGGAGGGGCATCATTTGTGAGCTGGTGGAGCTGAATTCTTTGACTTTGTTAGTTCTGTATTAGACAGCTCAATCCCAGTAGGATCACACACTTCAGCACCAAGGACAGTTCCAGAGTGCTCATGATTTTTGGGGCTGTCACAGGCCTATATATTATGCTAATAAATAACAATATAACTTAAATAAAACTTGTTTTAGACATCAGCTCAAAGCAAAGGGTCTCAGTCCTTCACTTATTTACTGCATCAACACTGGATGTAGTATGTGTTGGAGATGTGTACACTGTCAAATCATTAAAAGTTTGTGCATAGGTCTACCAATAACCTGAATATAAGTTCTGGATGCTGAGGAATGCAAAGTGATATCAGCTTTCGAGAGAGTTGAGCTCACTGAGAGCTCTCTCTAGAAGATGAGAAGCACAAATCACACTGTATGTTAAGTCCCCATTGCCAATCTTCAGAGATGTGTTGGAGATGTGTACAGTGTCAAATCATTACAAGTTTGTGCATAGGTCTACCAATAACCTGAATATAAGTTCTGGATGCTGAGGAATGCAAAGTGATATCAGCTTTCGAGAGAGTTGAGCTCACTGAGAGCTCTCTCTAGAAGATGAGAAGCACAAATCACACTGTATGTTAAGTCCCCATTGCCAATCTTCAGAGACAAGGGCTTTCTGTAGAGTACAGTAGTGGGTGCCTAGAACTCTTATATGACCATAATAGTTATTTTACACTCTTCTATAGCTTCTTTAGAAGGATGCCTTCTACCTTTAGAGTTTTTTTCTCCATTCCTTTTCATTGCAAGAAATCTTTAAAAAAAGAAAAGAAAAAAAGAAGGAAGTTGTCTAGTCAGAAAGTTGGTAACGTTGTGACCAAAGGGGCAGGTCACACTTGAGATGCATGTGTGAACAAGCTATCACAGATTTGAGCTGCCAGGCAGAACTTCTTGAAATTTTACATCATCACAGATAAAGTTTTTAGGGAAAACAGTTTGCAGACTTAGCTTTTAATAATTGTTATGCATATTCATCAGCTTTGCCCTCCTGATAACTTATTCTCTCATTCATTCTATTTATATTTTGCCTTTTTCCCAATAAAGAGAACATATAAAGAGAACATATCTTACAAGGTATCTGAAAAAGTAAATGTAGCTAAAAATAAAATGAGTGACAGTATTAGAAAGCAATTAAACATCATATTGAAAGAATGATTGAAAAAAATGTTCAGAATAATTCAAAAGCACAGAAGATGGAAATTTTTAACAGTGCAGTATCATTGGTTAAAACCCTTTTCTTTGTAACCAGTCAGTTGCCAAAACCTTCCCACAACAGGAAATTCTTGCCTGCCTCTGGAAGAACATCAAAGTAAAACACCAGCCTTCCTTTGCTTTGAGTTCCACAGTCTGAGAGCAGCTAAAGAAAAAGCCAGGGAGACTCATAAGGGGAGATTTCATCCATCAGAGAGCCTGGACCCAAGTATGGGCTTCACAGGTCAAAAGCAGCATTTTGAATTGTGCCCAGAAACAGATCAGTAATGAGTGAAATTTTCTTAACAAGGAATTTAACAACTTCTCCTTCTGGTCAGTGGTCTGGCTGAAACATCTTGAAACCGGTAGTTTCCAAAAGTTTGACACAGGGAGCTCTCCATAAAGCAAACTGTAGCAGTCTAAATGGGATGCAACTAAGGTATATGTCATCGTAGCAGGATCAAGCCTCTTTAGGAATAACCAAGGCTGGTATATTAGTTTTTATTGTGCAGATACCCTCCTGGCCACTGCTAATATTTGCTTATCCAGATCAGAGCTGAATCCATAAGTACACTGAAGCTGCAAACCTGAGTTTTATGGGGAGTGTAACCCTTCCGAACTCAAGTTAAATTCTCTATTTCCTGATCTCCCTTGCAGTTAACCAGAAGTGCCTTTGTCTTGACTAGACTAAACTTCAATACTTTTCTCCCTCATCCAGGCCATTGCTTGACATCAGATGCTGGTTTAGAACACAAAAATTCCCCAATTTAGATGGAAGGGAGAAATAGAGTTGCATATTGTCTGTATACTTGCCTCTACCAACAGTTTTATGTAAACGCTAAGTACCGCCCACCCTGCTGTGTACCAACAGTCTCCATGCCTGAGCTGACGGAGGTAGTCTCGGACCTGGTGTTAAGGACTCCCAGGCTGTTGGTGCTGGGGGACCTCAACATCCATGTCGGGGCTGCCTTGACTGGGGCGGCTCAGGACTTCATGACCACCATGACAACCATGGGGCTGTTTCAATGTGTCATTGGCCCGATGCATGAGAAGGGCCATACCTTGGACCTGGTCTTCTGAACCGGACTGGAAGATGGTGGTTTGGATATGGAGGGGCTGGTCGTGACCCCATTGTCATGGTCAGACCACTTCCTGGTTAAGTTTAGTTTATTAGCTTCTTCTCCCCTCTGCAAGGGTGGGGGATCTATTAAGATGATCCGCCCTCGGAGACTAATGGATCCGGATGGTTTCCTGAATGCTCAGGGGGATTATCTGTCTGATATAGTTGGCGCTCCTGTTGAAGCTCAGATCACCCTATGGAATAGGGAGATGACCCGGGCGGTTGACACGATTGCGCCTAAGCGCCCTCTCCCTGCATGCAGAGCCCAGACAGCTCCTTGGTATACTTCTGAA